TGTCTGTATACACATTTAAAATCATTCCTGCAGCTATTTCCAATGCTCGTGTTAGAGCATACAATTCTGCAAATTGTGCACTTGCTTGGCTGGGTAGTTGTGCTGACTCTACAGTTGCAGTTTGAGAAACAATTGCATACCCAGAGTATCTAATGCAGTTTGAGAAACAGTTGCAGTTTGAGAAACAATTGCATACCCAGAGTATCTCTGGGGGCCTAAAGCCCTCTGTCCTTGGGACAGTTCATACATTACAGTCTTTTGGACTAGTTGTGCTTTCTTTTTGGACGCTCTGTAGCCACAGTCTTGTAATATTTGAAGCAGTCTTGCTGTGTTTTCAAAACAATCTTCCCTGTTTTGTCCAGTTATTAGAACATCATCCACATATTGAAGACAACAGTCCTCTTGTCCGACTAACTTTAAAAATGCAAGATCTTGGGCTAAAGCTTGACCAAAACATGTGGGTGAATTTTTAAAGCCTTGTGGTAGCCTAGTCCAGGTATATTGAGTCCTAACTTGTGTTTTAGGATTAGTCCATTCAAATGCAAAAATCTGCTGACAATTTTCGTGTAATGGTATGGTGAAAAATGCATCTTTTAAGTCCACAACTGAGAACCATTTAGCAGTTGCTGGTATTGTGCTTAAAAGAATATATGGATTAGGAACAGTTGCGTGTAGGGTCAAGGTTAGTTTATTGATGGGGTGCAAATCCTGTGGCGGTCTCCACTGTCCGTCTGGCTTACGAACAGGTAGAATTGCAGTATTCCAGGGTGACTGAATTTTTTTAGAAGGAAAAGGAGATAAAGAAAGAACAGTGTGCTCAAAAGCAAACACAGGACTTGGATGAAGATGAAAGGGAAACACCAGTCTCTAGCCGCACCAGAAAAAACGCAAAACCAAAGATAGAAGAAAACAATAGCCCCTTTAAGAGAAGTTTTGGTTCCTGGACCAGACAACTCCAATGTCCCATCTGGGGTGCCAAAATTCTTGTGGAAAACAAAAGAACTCTTACAAATTCCAGAGGGGTTTAGCAGAGAGGTTTATTTGTGCAGGTTCAGAAGCATAATGGAGATAGGCAATTCTGAACAAGGAGGGCGGGATTAGACTTCAGTTTTATACTATTCTTCTTTCAGGAACAAAAGGACTACACATGGTAATACACTGTAATACATTTGGATCGTTTCTCACGGGCATACAATGGAAGGTTTTGCTACATACAAAGTATCCATGTGCAATGCGCATTTGGTTAGTCACATATTACCAACACTGAACTTTCCCAGTGAATTTTCCCAGTGATTATGCATTACATCATTATTCTAGCAATTATGCAGACAAATCATTATTCTAGTTATTGTTCATTTTACTACATTAACATGATCATATTTCAGGCACTTGACAACCTGTTCGTATTAACAACCAGTTGCCAAGTGCTCTGTAATTATGAGGTCTGTTTTCACAGCATGTCAAGGATTTCCCTTCCTCCATGCAGGGAAGGGAAATCCTCCTGCACACTAGAGGAATAGGTCTAAAATCTGATGAAATGCTAGAGAAGAGCCTTTCAGATTAACAGCTTTGAATTCTCATCTTGAGAGAAGGATGCTAGCAAAAGAGGTAGATTCCAGAAGAGAAAGCTGAGGTTTCAAAATGCCAACATTTCAGAGTTCTGAAATGTTGAGACCCAGAGCCTTTCAAAATGCCAATTTGACTAGTATTTTCCTCTCAGAGGAGAGACACTAATGAATGCCTTGTTTTCATGATGATTTAGAAACCTCATGAACGAGCCTTCTAAACCACTGCAAGAATGGACCTCACATGCAAGATAAAGTTAGGCAACAGAAAGATAAGTGGACCAGGGCATGGTGGGATGGTCCATGTGCCAGTGGACCTAGATGGCAGATGCCTCCAGCCTGTAGCAGGTTTCCACATGCCCATGGGCACCTAGTCTCCCTCACCCTAGGCACTCTTACATGCTTAACAACCTCAAGAGGGTGTGCTTGAATTTCAAATTGTTAAGTGAGATGGTCACATGGACAACTTGCTTAATGACTGCAATTATTTATGACCAAAATTCCAGGCTCAATTATGGTCATAGGAAAGACTTCCGGTGGCAGGCTACTCCGTTGGACGCAGCTGTTGCTGCCTCCCGCCTGTTTCTGCGTAAAAGCCGTTTTGACAGCTTGCATCTGCTGTCAAACGGCTTGAAACCTTTCCCCTGGGCATAGGGGGATGGGTGAGCTGCCCGGGGTAGGAGTTGAGTTCCCGAGTCGTCCCAGGTGGACGATGTAGGTGAGAA